TCCTGGAGACAGAAGTGTTTTCATTCCTGTTCACTGGATATGTGAGAAATATCTGGAAACCTGTAAATAGAAGACCACATGTGCAGGCAGACTTTATAGTTAGCTTATGATCATAGAAGCACCATGTGTCATTCTGCATATGCTGTAAGCACCTTTAGTATTGTCACATGTATACATTTGGACCAGTTCTTTCATCAGCAAACCAAAATCACCAGTAAACATAATGAGCTGAGCTGACAAACTTTGTCTTGCACACAGTAGAGGAATGTCTGTCTAGCAAAAATGTCCTTTAATAGGCAAGGTGAAGCAAATATTAACAATATCATACTTTTCACAGTCATGCTTCTTTCTCTTTGGAGAAGTAATATCTGGAAACTGATGGAAAAAATCCATTTCAACTCATAAGCATCACCTGCTGCATACACCTGTATTACTGATACCATTGACAAGGACAAGAGACAAAAGGCTGTACCAGACAAGCAGATAACTGCAGGTGACAAATGTGTCATTTGCACTGTTAGACAATGGTTGATTTACAGCTTTGGCAATATGCCGGTGTCAAAATTTGTGCAATGTCATAAAATTTTGAAATTAATTCTAAAAATGTGACTGCTGCTGTGCCCCACATCTACAAACCAGCTAATACACTACTGCCGTGAAATGAAATAGAAATGAAGCAATCTTGCAAGAACCATTTTTGAGTGAATTATATCACAAATGTAAGACAAATGTTCATGATGTGTCTCTGGTTGTGTTTTTTTTTCTATTGGCATCATAGTAGTATGTATGCTAAAGCAGTTGTCACACCATATGACACATTACAACTAATATTATATTGTCTCTCACAGATTGCAATTGATTTTATTAAACCCATCTTGCAGTGTGACATGCAACAAACCTGAAGGACAGCAGTTATTACACAATGTGTATATCATGGAGATTAAAAATAGGAAAAATTCAAGTATGCTTGTGTATGTTTACAATATTCTATTTATTTGTGTATAAGGTAAAGCACCTAGCATATCATATGCACTATGATGCAGAAAATATGTTGCATGTTGGCCCAGGCAGATGTACACAAACCAACTGAAGACTTAATGTTACGAGAGGCATCCACAAATGGCCACAGAGCATACTTGCCTTTTAAAAGCACACACGCGCACACACAAACTCAGCTACTAATGTAGTGGTGGTCTTCCAGATGCCTTTCCAGTATTTCCTCTGGAGCTACTGCCAGTCTCTGACCATAAGGCTGATGACTCCCTGGGGTAACTGGCTACTTTACACTGTTCATATGGGCTGAGCTATTGCACAACCAACCCCCCTTCAAACTCACTCACATACATACATACGTGCACAAGCAGACACACATTCAGTCTAGTTCACTGATTATCTTACCATGATAGTGCACGGTATGGCTTTATCTTGGCTGCATGTGTCAGTTTCCCACATAGAGTCTGTGCCCAGGTTTATCTTCTGTGTTTGACACATACGTACAGTGTATACAATAATGAAAAAACCATAATTTTCTATGTCTCCTCCAGTGAGGATGTGATTCTTTGACAGTGAGCAGTATGATTTAATGAGGTAAATTAGAGCCTTTTAATTAAAGCCCCTCTAACTAACTTTTTCCTCAAACTTTCAACTGAGTGAGTGAGAATTAAAACAAACTCAGGCGGTAACCCCTCCTCTTCTTCCTCCTCTCCTCCTTGCCCCCCCGCCCTGTCTGTGAAGCTGCATCATATATGGTAACTACAGCTGGACACAGACTCAGCAGTCAGGCAGCTCAGCAGTAATATTAGCACATATGGAATATAGACCATAGAGCCTGTGGTTTTCGGTGGCATTGCAGCAACATGGATCCTTTTTCCTACCAAAACAGTAACACAAGCAAATGAATGTTTGTACAAAAGAATGTTTTTTCTCAGTAGCACTGATACCGTAATGTTCCAGCCACTATCGCATGATGTTCAGTGCTACATACTTGATACACCGTTAGTTATGTGAAAAAATATAAATCACGTTACCCTTTTATAGGTGAACAAACTCTCCACTCCCCCACATGTACATCAAATTTTAGTCTTTTGGATGCTTTTAATGCTCTCCATCTCTGACATGCCAAACCAACATTAACCCTGGTTTTGCCTCATCCTTTGTCGCACTCTTTCTGTGCTACAAAACGCAGCCTCTTGGGTCTGACAGCTCCGCTCCCATCCTGGATTGTACCTGCACAGGGAGCCTCCACAGTCCATCTCTGAAACGAGCCATACTGGTTTGAAAAGCACATCTTATAACCTAGGATCTAGGATCAGCGAGGGCGTGGAGGAAGTGTGATGCGGATTTTAACAACAGTGGCCACGGAGGGCAGGAAATAAACACAAGGCCTGAGGATAGCAGAGTAGTAGGGTTTACAGCAGGAAGACAACATTCTAGACAATTTTTTACTTGATTTATCGAATTTGTGCTAAATCCTAGTTAATACAGCTTTAAACTTCAGCAAGAACAAGATCAATGGAAGGAGCAGTTCTCTTTAGCCTTCTGTTGTCTCCTTAGCCTTCCAGCATCTACATATGCTGTAGGTACTGTGCAACTCTGCCAAGAGATCATTCAATCAGTCAACCTGTACATTTCTCTGCAACCTGCCCATTCTTAGTGGTTATTGACCACCTCTTTTTGACTTGTTTAGTCTTTACTGCTCACATACTTTAAATAGAAACATATCATGCACTAACTATAACCCCACCTCTCTTACAAACACATGACACAAGCCACAGTAGCTAGTTAGACCTATTTCTTGCCATTAAGTTTTAATTAGCAAGGCTGTCAGAATAAATAATCTGACATCGTATTGGCTCCAAATCATAATCCTATCACAGTGTTATTTATTCCATCCCAGTTCCAGGGGTTGTTTCAACATGCTGGTCTAATTACTATCACTGGAGGTGGAGACTGGAAAGCAAGCGCAGAAAAACAATAACAATGCTACTGCTAGAGGCAACGCTAGCAGTAGGCCTACACCCAATACTTGATGTGCTCTTTCACAAAAGGGAGCAAGGTTTTGAAAACACTCAAAGAAAACAAGGAGGGACAAGGGAGATGAGAAAGAATCAAGAGCTGTTCTTGCTTTCCTTCTCTAGGGTTTTCTTAATGAAAGAGGCAGGAAACTGCTCTAGCAGGTGCCTCTACAAGTGAGAGATGAACAGCTACAGATTGTGTGCGATGTGACCAGGTGGACAGAAAGAGAAGAATGGAAACTGAGGGGACGGTTTCTTAAATAACACGATTATTTATTGCATGTGTCTATAAAGAATCAATACAATCTAAAGCAATGAACTAAGTTTAAATTATCATCTCTTAGTAGCGCCACAATATGCAAGATGTGAAATATTTACAATGAAAGACACAGCAAAAAAAAAAAAGCCAGGGCCCATATCGTAACCTTTAGATGTCAAATAGAAACATTATTCAAATGCAAAACACTGCTCAAAACAAAGAGAGAATGTTTCCGTTGCAAAATTTGAAAAAAACAAAGTACAAACAGCAAAAATCCGATTTAAGGTTTAGCAAACATTATTAACAGTATTTATACATTTGGTACGTCTTTGTAAACGAATTTTCAAAAGTGTAAATGTTGCATATATGCCATTTGTGTTGTACCTTAGTAACAATAATTAACTATGTCAAGTATTAATGATTTCTCTTAAAATCTTTTTTTTTCTTTCTTTTCAGAATTACAGCATTAGAAAATGTCCTCATAGTGGCATTCGTTTCACAAGGCTCTCCCATGACAGTCTGGAGAAAAAAAATAAAAATCAAAGCCAAACCATACTGGTTAGGATATAACTTAGTTAGTGCTTTTGTTGTGTCAGAAAGTTCACTCAAACAGATACTATGTACAATACAAACAAACATAAGTTATTTAACTTAACATGTCTCAAAGTTTTTAGTGTTGGTTTAGATGTAATTCTCTGTAAGATCGCACTTTTTTACAGTAAAGAGGCAAAGGTTAAGTACCAGTGAATTCAGATAAATAATAAGATACTTCCCCTGGTTTGTATCTGTGTTGTAGTTTCCATTCAGTACCTCTGCATGTTCTTTTGTTGCTGCAGTTGCTGTCATGTTTGTCGGGTTGTGTGTTCTCAAGCTCAGAACACGGTGTGTACTACATTCAACGTGTCTTGTGTTACAATCTAGAAAGTTTGTAAGTGCAAGACCGTGGACCAGTGGAGGCTGTTTTTTCAAGCTATTGAGTGGCTCATTGAACAGACAGAGTGTAGTCCTGCAGGCACCACATCGCTCAGCTTGGCCCGGTGTGGTGTGACACAGCTCTGCAATGAGGCATCACTGAAAATGATAGATACTGGGCTGTCCATTTACTCTGTATAAATAAGTTCAAACATTCATGGTCCCATGCCTTGTCCTGACAAGTCGTAACTTCTTGCAGGCTGTGTGAATGTGCAGGATATCACAGATGAACAGTAGGTGAGCTGGTAAAGTGTATAATGTTGCTGAGACTCGGGGTCACACAGGGCACATATCCGGTGGTCAGGTCCAGGTGGAACTGGCTCATGCTGCAGTGTTTGGATGTGTAACACCTGCATGCACATGTGATGCATTGCAATGTGAAGTATTCCTCCAAGGTCCCCTCGGTATGTTTAGTGTGTATGAAAGCTCCATTTCAGGCATTTTAATAAATATATTACTCTGGATTTTTAACACATAATCTGTCAAAAATGTAAGTGGGGGAAAGAAGGAGCTTAATCTCAGAGAGGCTCAGCTCCGATGCACATTCAGTCTCTAAGACGATCAGTTAAATCTCTGATATACTGTATTCATAGGTCCAAACTGAACGAGTCCATCAGACGGGGGCTTGAATGATGGTTAGAGTAAGGCTTTAGACTGGGGATTCTTAACAAACATTCACCTCGGAAAATAAATATTTTATATATTTTTTACTGTGTGAACTTGTACCAGCCTGTTTTTTTTTTTTTTAAACTGTTAACTGAGGTAGATTTTTTTTAAGCAAATGTTAACTCTGATTTTTCAATATTTTCATAAATGCCATATCTTTTGCAGTACACTCTGTATAAAAAATTGCACACACACATTTCAATTACTGCATACCTACATGATAAATAAATAAATACATGTAACCTGTATGCATGTAATTTTTTTTTATATGCGTGTATGTGTGCGCACGTGCTCTCCAGGTTTGGGTCACAGGGTTTAAGGTAAGAGTTTCTGGAAACTCTTGGCTGAGCCAAACAATGACCAGTTGAAAGTGTATGAATGGTAATAACAACAATAATTAACATAACAATAACATACTGCAGAATCATTTTTCTGCCTACGTACAGAGATAAATAGATAAATAGTTACCTATTAGAGTTAATAGTCCATTTAAGGTCTTGTTATTTTTTTAAAGTAACCTACTACTACAGCAGCAATGGCGCCTGAATGTTTTGGTGCCAAGAAAGCAAAGGGAAGATTTGGGGTGAAGATTGAGTGTCTGTGTTTCCATGGCGATGGCTGTCCCTGTGACCCCCGAAGGCAAAAAAAGAGGTCAAAGGTCACTGACTGCAGCGCATGCTCCAACTGTTGCTGTGGCGACCTCTTCACCTGGCTGCATACGAAATTCAACGTTCACAGGCAGAGGGGGTTTGTTGAGGGTGTGTCGCTCGGGGAGGGGCATCAGCCTTCATTCTGAAAGAAGAAGAAGAAGAAAACAGAAGTGAGTTTCTTGTCATGTGATTACAGGCATGAAGCTGGGATTTCTCAGGGTGAGTGTGTACATACAGTACAGTGCGCTATATGTGATTCACGATGCAGGACAAAGCAATAGAGGGGTGGCAGAGCTCAAACGTATACCCCCACTCTGTTACCAAGTAAAGAATAAGTGCTCTTCAAGGGACCTAGCTCTGTGTGTGTGTATTCCTCAGCTTGTAGACACTGAAGTGGCAGGTGCATTCATGACAGGGGAAAAACAAGAGTGGCATTTAACACTGTGCCGCTGACACAGGGCAGCCACCAAGAACAGCAACAACACTCCCACACACCAACAAACACACACACGGTTATTCTTGACTGCATACCTAGTGAAGTGAAATAAACAAAGATGTACTCCCACACACACCACCACTGTGTATTTCACATACAATAAACCCAGAATCTTCAGTGTCACTTTTCACCCAGTGGAAAGCTGCACTGACCCTTGCCCCTGTGTACTTGTTTGTGAGGTTTCATTTGCATGCAGAGTAATCAAATGAGAGCGGAAATCTTGGCTGACACACACACAAACAAACACACACACAGTCCTTCTCCATGGCTGCATTTCTTCCCTCGTTCGCCATCTCCTCCCCCTCTTTCCCAGTCATGAACAAGAGCTGTTTTCACAAAGCTGGATGTGATCGTCATTCTCTAAAACAAACCTTTCATTCAGAGTCCTCAATGTCCCCTCCAGCTACACTCACCATAAACACACACACACACACACACACACACACACACACACACATCTGTTCTCTCTTTCTGCCCTATACATACTCGCTGTAAAGGAAAATCAGATGCTAATGTCAGATCTAGACTTTCTAGGTGCAACTCTAATTTATGACCAAAACATCAGAGAGGGGGAAACAAACACACTGAAGAGGCATGTCCACAGATGCTCCGAGATGTCTCAGATGCAAATACATTGGAAAATAAAATAATTCATTTCACTCCTGAGGCCACCTGAGCGCTGTCCATGGTTGTCAGAGACAAATGAAAATACAAACACTGGGGTGCGAAGTGGTGGAAAAACCACAGTAACAGAATCAACCTGACAATGAGAAACGGGAATGCAGTGAGGTCATGGGATCAGTGGTCCATAACAATCTGAATGTGTGTGTGTGTGTGTGTGTGCTCTTGTACTGGCTACATAGTGAGGACCAAAAAATCTACAAAATTAGGACATTTTGTCTGGTCCTCACTTTGTGAAACACCTTTTTGAGGGTTAAAACTTGGTTTTAGAATTAGGTTTAGTGTTAGGCATTTAGTTCTGAAGGTTAGGGTAGGGGCTAGTGAAGGCATTATGTCAATGAGTGTCCTTACAAAGATAGAAGTATGCGTGTGTGTGTTTCTGCAGGGGCTGGGCTAGACAGGGGCCTGTAGAGGCAGACACTAGGGTGCGAAAGACTAAGATCTGCCGGGAAGGACAGCTGAATCACTAACAGCTCACATTAGCAACCAGGTGTAGCCATGAACGTAAACACTCCAATGCATTATGATTACTGTATCAACAATGGTGCAAAAGGACAATGTAGTGAACAGGCACTCACTACACACACTGCTATACTAACATGTGCTGGTTGGAGGAAAGTGTGGGTGGGCAGGGGGATTTGGGGGTGTTACTGAGAGCAGGGGACAGAGGTCCAGTGGGGGAATGAACCGAATGGCTCCTACCCCTCCCCTTTTTCGTGCACTTACACACGTCTCTCCACCCCTCTCCAAAACCAATTTTGTTCCCTCTGGCTCCGTTCATTATTTATTTAGTTCTCACAGGCTAAATTTAGCCCTGCTCCATTCACAGCTAAGAAACACACACACACAGGCATGCATACGCAGCAAATCCCAATGTCTGTTGATGCACCGTCTGCTTGAGTAGTTTCATGTTGTTGCACATCTACAGTAAATGAATGGGCTTGCAGGGGAACTGTACTTCTGAACAGTGGTCACAAGAAAGGAAGAGGATCACTCATTGTTTTTATATGCTGGAGCTTCTGCAAATAACAAAACTGACGTTGGGAGCAGGTTTCCTCCCACAGATAGGAAGATATCAGCAGGCTCAGATATGCTCTGTTTACATTCCTGC